TCTGCATTTGGCTGAGTTGCTTTAGGGAAGAGTGCAGTTAATGCAGTGTTTGACACACAGCTCAGTCCCTCCACAGACTGTTTTTCATCTCCTGCCTTTGTTGGTGATTTTCTTTTTGTGCTTGCAAGGCCTGTGATGTTTTGAGGATTGTTTGAGAAGGCAGTTTTCCACATTATGAAGATTAGCAGTTAAAGCAGCTCTGTAGTATTTGAAGATGGTGCATTCCATGATGTAATGAGACGTGTTCTTGGTCTGAACAGGGAATTAATGATTTGTAATTTGCAGCTCATACAGAATTGAAGTAAGCACATGGCAGATGTAGGATGCTGAGCCTTGCCATTTAATTAAGGGGGAACTAAGGGTGACATTAGGGTTAAAAGCCCTGAAAAGACTGATTATTGTTACAAAACAGAGACCTGATAGGTACATACTAGAGATACAAAAAGCTCAAATCAGTATATACTGTAACTGTGTGGAATTTGCAGTGCACATAGATGAGTGGTATGGCTTGAGACAGTCTTGTAGCAGCTTTTACTGTTAGGAAGGTGATTTTCTTTTTGCAAACACATTATTCTGTAATTTTCAGCTATGCTGCTTGCTAGCTGTATATTCAGTGGATAAAGTCAAGGGAGAATTTGGCTTGACACAGCAGTTTAGACTTTGGGGGTTTTGAAATTTATTTGTTTTTAATTGTGTTTTGAAGCAATAATGATCAGACACTAGATACATTAAAAATTTATCTCCCAAGCTTTTAGTACTTGAAACCTGTTAAATAATGAAAATATCAATACAGAGAGAGGGAATCCTTAGGGATTCATCACAAGGAAAAAAACCCCAAACTGGTATGGTTTTGTTTATTTTTCTTTCGGATCTGTGCTAATCTTTAGTCAAGGAAAAAAAATCTTGTAGGTTTTTTAGAATAAAATTCTTCCTTGATAGGTTTTCCTACGCAAAGAGGGATTCATATGTTTGTGTTTTGGCCCAAGAATATTTTGAGGTGATCTGCAGGAAAATGACACTTCCTTAAAAGTAGCTGAGTAGGAAAAGCTATTTATGTTTAAGAGATCCTTAAATATGAGTTGAAGAGCTTAAGTAGCTAGTTGTGATGTGTGTATGTCTGTAGGAGAATTTAGGCACAAATTGTGATGTAAGCATTACTAGTACAGTTGTTTTGAAAGTTTTATGAATAACAATATACTTAAACTGATTAAAGATAACAGCCACTTAAGTCGTTTGTATATGATGGGATTATCCCAGTGGTTACACGACTGAAAGACAGGAGGCTTGGCTCTGCTTCCTTTATGCTTTCTTTGGTTCATATTCTCCTATTCTCAATCCATTTCTTTGATTTGAGTTTATGTTGCAAAATTTTGTGGAAACCTCTTTAGTAGGTGTCATTGCAGGGCTTTTTATGTTGATCTGTCAAAGTTATTTAATTTTTATGTGGTTTAAGAAGGTGGCTTGATTTTTTTTAAAAAAGTGTTGGAAAGCACTAAGTTACTTTTGTACTTCAGTAAAGTCTATATTGTCAAAAACAAACAAGGAACGTAATACTCAAGATTTATGTAGGCACATACTTAATAAGAGATGTAAATTTCTTAAGCCACCAGGTGAGTTTGTAACTCTGGCTACATTCCATTTTTTTTTCTCGTCCAAAATTATGTTTTCCAAATAAACTTTTCTGCATCTTAATTCTTTGTTTTGTTTTTCAATTGTACACTGAGTTAAAAAATAGTATTTTAATCTATAATTCCTGTTTTATAACAGGTAAAATTTTCAGTGTCAGGATAAAACTGACAGGAGCTTAAGAAGCCTTTGCCTGTGCCCTTTTTCTTCTCTAGGGAAAAAGTATATGAAGAAAGAGTTAACATTTTTTGAAAAGTGACAATAGGAAGGCAGGGTACGTTTTGTCTCTTTTCCTCTGTATGCATCCTACATACAAACTTAAATTTGTTGGCTTCCTGTATGGGGTTTGCTGCCTCGGGGTATGCAAATCTAATAGTATGATTATGTATTAACATATGTTGCTTGATGAATAGGTAATTATCTTTTGTAAAATATATTAAAAAAATAATGGAAATAGCATCACACCTTCACGCTACTCTTAAAGGATATTTATTCATTTTACTCCTACAAAGAATCAGATCTGATAGCATGACAAATTACACGTTTGTTATGCTCCTGTTTTCTAAATTATTCTCCCAAACACAATCTATGAAATGCAGAACAGCATTGTCCAAATTTTCTGTAGTGTTTTATGCAGAGGTCATTTAAACAGACACCCTACAAAACCTATGCCAAAAGTTGTATTCGTGTGAGCAGGAGAGATCGGGATTGTAACAGTTCTAACCACAGAACACTTGAGAATTGTTCTCCAGGCTGCATGGACCATCAGGTCAGTCTGTGTCTTGATGCAGCTTTTGGCTTGACTCCAGCTGCAGCATGGTTTGCTGAGGCAGTGGAAGCTTTTAGCTGCATTTGGTTTGGAATGAGGTGGCTAAAAAAATCTGGCGCACCGGATTTAGACAGCACGTATTAGTAAAGCAGGTCTGCTGCTGGGATGCTTTTAAGTATGTTTTTGCCCCATTGGGTTTAAACCTGCTTTTCCTCTCTTCAAAAGCTGCTGTGCTGGCTTAGCCATCCTTAATTGCTACTTCAGTGTATTTAGCCAGGGCTGTGGACCTGATCTGACAACCTTTTTTTCCTTTTGGTAACAAATCAGTGTCCTGGTTTCACAGCTTAGCTGTAACTGTGCACACAGATGTGTGTTTAGGCTGGATTTCGTGTGTCACACAGGTGCTTGCTTTCCAGGCTACTTCATTCTTTTTTTATGAAGACATGGCCATTGCAAGGCCTAATGTACTTCTTGGTGTGAGTTTCTGGGTTTTGTGTAACAGGGAGTGGGTGCTAATTTATCAGTATTCACCCCTTAGAATTCATTTTATTTCTACTGTGGTGTTTAAAATATGTAATTTTTTTTAAAAATGGCATCTATACGTGCATTACAGCCATACATGGATACACCTGCTTTTCATCTTTGCTGTAGAATGGCATAATACTCAGGCATGCAGAAGGAGCTGTTCACATGGGACACACAGATGGTCACTTCATTAAATGTTCTCTGCTGGTTTTATTTCCTTATAATCAAAGGTTTGGTTCTTTGCATTCAGGTGTGAAATTACCAAGAGTAATTAAGGTTGAGCTGTATGCTGAAGTTAATGTAATGGATAACAATTTCTTATATGATTGTGGGTGTTAGAAGCATTTATTTACAAATTTGGCTCCCATTAAATTGCAGTTAATTATTCTTCACAACTTCAGAGAGTATGTGCTTTAAAACTGTGCTTTTAAGCGTTCTGGGTAATAGTTCTCAGGTTATAAATGAGAAATGTGTAAAAATCCTTCTCCTCATCAGGTTTTCATGAGTTAATTTCTTATGTCATGCTAGATTAGCTGTTTTATACAGATTTATATGCTCCATATTAATTTATATGTGAATATGAAGTTCTTGTATTGAACTGGGGTAAAACTAAATTCACTGCTTCCCCAAAGTAACTGTGTTTTGAGACAGTTGATTATTACAAAATAAACCAGTGTCATGTACAGCTTTTTTTTTTTTTTTTGTAACAAATGAATCTGTTCCTTTTGGGTATTTCATTGCAGGAGATCATAGCAGAGAGGGTAATTTGAGTACATATAAACAGAAGGAACAGTCTTTTATTTTTAATGTAATACAAGTGCATAAGAGCACATCTTCTGGCTGTTGTCATGATGTGCATATTGCATGTTCCTTATAGCAGTTTTAATTCAATATTTAAGTGGATGTAATTTTTTTTCTTCTAAAACTACACTTGTTTCTGTTTTAATGCAGTTTAATTAACATTAAATGTTAGTTTATCAGTGCTTCTCCAAGTGTCTTTACATAGATGTGATAATTTATTGCTCTTGAAAAATCTTTCCTATTTCATTGTAATTTATATTTCCTGGTTCACTCAGAGATATAAATATATTAAGTGTAAAGGAGTAATTTCTCAGTTCTCGTTATTTTCATTATAGAACATTTTTCTGATGACATTTAAAAAAGGTCAAATTATTTGCGTAAACCTGTTTATCACTTCAGTAACAGCACGTGGGATAAGTTTCCCGAGTTTCTAAACTTTTTTGGATCTTCATTTGCATTTTGTAGAGATGTTGACAAACATTCAGAAATTTGCTATCCTTAATGTAGGACACAAGATACTGACAAAATAGCACCAGTGAAATGCTTCTTGCAAGGGTTGTGTTACACAAACTGCTTTTTCCAGCATGAGGCAGCTGTTGCATCTTGATCAAAACACCTGCATCTAGACCTGTAGGCAATTGAATGTCTGTGTGTAGCTGTAGAGTTACAATAATGAATGTAAAATAGTCTTAGGGGGAAAATATGTAGTCATAACAGTTTTTGTAGCCTTGGGAAAGGATGGTGTTTTCTTTTTACTGGAAAAGGATGACTTTTTTCTCATAATTGATTGATCAAGCCTTTTAGAAGGCTGGATGGTATTTCTTCAAATTCTTCAAGCTCTATTTTGTGGTTATTTTTAGAGTTCTAGATCAGCAGCACCTGCAATTAGCTATATTTATTATAGTGTCTGTTTTATACACCAGCTACTTTCGTACCAGTTTTTGCACAAACTAGAATCCTGGAGATGCAGCCCTGTTCTTCAGTGCTCCTTAGAAATTTTTCTGCCATGCTGTAGTCTGTATTTTATTATCTGGTGTTGTCTGATTCATGAATGAGTGTTAATATTAAGTCTGGAAGTAGAAACTGGAAAACTTGAAACAGTGTTCAAACCCAGAACTTAAAACATTGTAAAAGTTGTGCACAAATATAATTGCATTTCGAATATACATTTCAAATTTGTATGTTTAAATGACTTCTTAAAAGAAAACTTCATTCATTAAGAGAGAATTACTTGTTTTATTTTTACTTTTGTATTAACTATCGTACTCTTCCATTTCAGAATGTATGAAAACATGTCCACAATGGTGTATTTAAAGGAAGAGAAGTTGGAGAAGCTTACTCAAGATGAAATCATTGCCAAAACTAAGCAAGTGATCAATGGACTAGAGGCACTGAAGAATGAACACAATTCAATTTTACAGAGCTTACTTGAAACACTGAAATGTTTGAAGAAAGATGATGAAACTAATCTGGTTGAAGAAAAATCAAACATGATTCGAAAGTCACTGGAAATGCTGGAGCTTGGCCTTAGTGAAGCACAGGTAAAATTGCAGTAAAAATAGAGCTTTTCAGACTTTGAGGATTTGCATTTGCCTTACTGGGTATTAGTAAAGTGCTGGGGCATTTACATTTTTCTTGTATGTTAAGGAAGACTGCTGTAATTAATAGAGGTACTTACTGTTTGTCTTGCCGTGTTACTGAACTAATTGTGCATTCAGTGTTAAAGCACTGGAGCTATTAACTGAGCTCCTCTTTATGTCAGTGAGACATTTATATTTTCTGTTTGGACTTTTCCACAGCATTAGGCAGGTAATGTTCGAGCAGCTCAAGAACTGAGCAGTGGCATGTTAACTCTAAATTATTGCATAGGAAGGTCTCACACGTACTCCCACACACATAAATGAATTTGCTCCAGCCTTTGAGCTCTGACACAACCTTAAATTCTGTGTTTATATTCCCTTGATTCTGAGATTCCTTATAGTAACTCATGCTGCTCCTAGAGCTTAAGAATCTCTAATGCTTATTAAAATTTTACTAAACCAGAATTGAATCTAAAACATTTCAAAAGTTAAGAATTGAGTGCAGAATCTGAACAGCTTTCCATGGTGCATTAGAGAAAGGACTCTGAGCTAATTTCGGGGAACTCTCCTAGTTAAGGAAGGTATCTTGTGCAGAAGATGAGTGAAAAGATGCATGCTTAGTTGGGCTGTCAGGACTATGTTTACAGTACAACTTTAGGGTATTTTGTACTAGATCAAAAACCTGAAACAGTGTGATGTGACAGTCACCAGTGTAAAATGGCAGAGTGCTCACAAATGAGTTGAAAATACCAGTGAGTTGGTTCTATATTAATAGAGAATACTAATAGGCTATATTAATATAGAATATAGGCTTCATATTGGTCTATAACTGTGCTCAGACTTCTCATCTGAATTGAGCTATTATTGCTTGGTGATCTGGAAGCTGTGTGCATTGGATCGTGGTGAATTGAGACTGAGAGAATGAAATATGGGTTACCAGACATGGGAACTTAGAAGCCCTGGACATTATGGTACAGACTGTCAGGCCTTGTTATGTTATATAAGCTGCGATCCCTCGTATTGGGAGGAAATACTAGAAGATACATGGAATAAAATTGCAATAGTCGAGTTACCTTTAATGGTTGTTTGTAGAAGATCCGTGAGTGAATTAAAAACTTCTCTGTCCTAACTTTGACATGGTATTGGGACTCTGAAAAGCTGGTTCTGATTCTTGGCTCTGTCACATTCAGCAGCCTCAGTTGCAGATATTCCTGCCTTGTTTGCTTCACCTGGTGCTTTGTGAACTGTGATGGTGAGGAGCCAAGAAGCCTTCATTGCTGCCTTTGTTAGGAAACCAATTACACTTCAAACTACTGCTCTCAGACTCAATAAGGCTACTCTTCCTGCAGCTTGGTTGTAACAATGTAGTAATTTTTTGTTGTTGTTTATTTAAATTGAGAAATGGAAATACGTTATAGATGTTTTTTGTGATATGCATGTAGGTCTGGTGACATAAGTGTTATTTCCATGAAAATGAAACTAACATTGCTGAAGAAGTGATCAGCCTTTCCTTTCAGTTAATTCTAAAGTAAGATTACAAGAGATTTTAGTTTGCCATTGTAGCTTGTTTGATGTTTGAATATGTTGACCTTATTACCACAACTTTCCTAAATGTTCTTTCTGATGTTACAAATGCCACTGTTTGAATAGACCATGTAATTTAAAATGCTGGATATGTAAATATGTAAATAGGTGGGTGCTGAAGTCTGGAGATTTGGACCAATTTGGAAATTATACCTGGAGTTTTTCTTACCTTTATAGGAAAAAGTTGTTTGTAAAGGCTTCATGAATTTTTTGACACCTGAAATTTCAGCTAAGGACACCATCTGTTTCACATTAAATACTTAATTTAAAAAAGAATGAAATTGAGGAGATGAAATACTAGTAACTTGGGGACATCAAACTGATCTAAAAGATTTGTATTCTCACCAGTGGTCCACTCTTACAAATTGTGCTTCCTGGGAGCTGTTCTGCATGTCAGTAGGAGATTGCATAAACAGTGAAGGAGAATATCTTATGCTGCTAGTGTTTGGCTTTCATTTAATAAGCTCCTTTTTCATTTAACTTTGCTTAGCAAAAAAAACCCCCAATCCAAGCAGACTGCTTTTAGGGCTGTTCTATTTTTGTCCGTAATATGACTGGGTTTGAATGTCTGCACTCTCAAGCTTATAAGTAATATAAAGTGCTTATATATATTGCGTGATCAATGGCACATTTAGAGCTCAGTAGTGTAACTGTCCCTTTGAAGTATCATCGTTATGCTGAGGTGTTCATCCTTATGAACTGGAAGCAAACGAATCCTCCTCTGTCTGGAAAAGCTGCTAAATTAGGACTTCGTGTTAGTTCTTAGGTTATTTTTGTGATCCTTCAAGTTAAAAGTGCTCCATTTCATGTTAGTAGAACAAATAGTTCATTAATTCCAGTTCATCAATCTAGTTCAAATTTTTCATATATTTTAAGATTATATTTAATTTTCAGGGAATTCTAAAGCAATTTAAGCTTCTGATAGCATCATGGAAAACAGTAATTAATAAGAAGTTCCTCTAGGTTGGGACCCCAACATAGGAAGGACATAGACCTGTTGGTGCAAGTCCAGAGGAGGCCATGAAGATACTCAGAGGGCTGGAGCACCTCTCCCGTGAAGGCAGGCTGAGAGAGCTGGGATAGTTCAGCCTGGAGAAGAGAAGGCTCTGAGGAGACCTCACAGCCACTTCCTGTACCTAAACGGGCTAGAAGAGAGATGGAGAGGGAATTTTACAAGGGCATGTAGTGATGGGACATGCATTAATGGCTTCAAACTGAGAGAGAGTAGGTTTAGATTGGATGTAAGGAAGAAATTCTTCCTTGTGAGGATGGTGAGACACTGGAACAGCTTACCTAGAGAAGTGGGTACTGCATTCTTGGAAGTGTTGAAGGCCAGGTTTGCTCAGCCTGGTCTAGTGGAAGGTGTCCCTGCCCATGGTGGGGGATTGGAATTAGATGATCGTTAAAGTTCTTCCCAACCCAAACTATTCTGTGATTTTAACTGGTAAAAGAATTTCAAGGAACAGTGAGAACAGATCTGTAAAGAAGAGAAATGTGAATGTTTACCAAGATTTCACAGCTGACAGGTTTAAATAATAAGAGGCTTTTATGTTAAATATAGGACTGGATTCTAGGGGAAGTAAGTCATGTGACACCTTCTGCTTTTTAGGTAATGATGGCCTTGTCAAATCACTTAAATGCAGTGGAATCAGAGAAGCAGAAACTGCGTGCTCAGGTTCGCCGGCTGTGCCAGGAAAATCAGTGGCTACGGGATGAACTAGCCAATACACAGCAGAAACTACAGAAAAGTGAGCAGTCTGTGGCTCAGCTGGAGGAAGAAAAGAAACATCTAGAATTCATGAATCAATTAAAAAAATATGATGATGACATTTCACCATCAGTAAGTAGCTGTATAGTAAAAAGCACCTTACATTTACATGTGTTGTAATCTGCCTATTTAGCAAGAAATAACAAATACATTTTGCCTTCAACATAAACTTGTCATTAAAATTCTTACCTTGTACCAGTGTCACATAGGTTGCAGAATGATTCTGAGTTCATTCTTTTAAATTTTTAAAGAGTATGTATTTTACTGTCTGTAGATCATAAAATACATGAGGATCAAAATCCATAATACTCATTTACTATCATGTAAGCTTAAAAAGTATGAAGAACAGAACCAACCCAAAATCTCACTTCTATAAATTCAGCAGGTAAAATAAGTCAGGAATGTAAGCTATGAGAGATCCTAAGTAACTTAGGCTTATTTTGACTGCAGGAAAAATACTTAATTTTCATCCAGTGAAATCAGTTTTTAGCTTTTGTTGAGAATTTACACTAGAGTAGTCCTTTCAGGTCCTCCTGTCAGACATTGTGATCCTCTACACATTTTCAAGCCCATTGTGTTACATATCTGTAGATTCAGAGAGAAATTGGATGCAACTTTAATTTACAGAAATAACTTATTACTTAAAAAAAAAATCTGATTTATTTGCCCTTTTAAAAATATTTTTGTTTTATTTCCTTCAGTTAGATGGCACTGTAGAGAAAAATTTCATTTTTTGTGTTCAGACCTTCTCAGCTGTGTTTTGGAAGGAATAGTTTTTCATAACTAATTATTTCAGCAACATAATGGTTAAAGATATATGCGGTTCAGTCATACTTAACTGGCTGCTTGACTAATCCTTTCTAACATGTGTAGTGAGAGTTGTTTTGGTTGGTTGCAGGCGGAACTTTGCAGTTCAGTTTTGTGGTTTGTAGCTGAATACTGCCTGAGAAGCCTGTTCAGAAAAGTGACAGGAGGAGGGAATATTGGGATTTTGATGTGCTAACTGTCAAGCTGTAATCTGCAGATGGCCTAAATAGCACTATTATTTGAAGTTTAATTGGCAAATAGAGTCAGAGTAAGCAAAGCATCTTTATCATCACTAACCATATGGACAGTGTCTGCTGTTAGCCTTTGAAATAGTCAGTTCTGTAGACTCAGGATGAGGTTGAATCTGCACACTTAAAATTATGAACTTCCCGTCTGAGATGTAGTCCCATCAATTTGCTATTTTTGCAGTGCACCTGCCTTACTACCCTTGAATTTGGATGCCAGCAGCAGCAGTTGGCTTTTCCTCCCTTGTGGAAAAAGGTGTTGGATGGAGAGTCAGAAAAATAGGACTGTGTTCTGCTCCTGGGTCTTCTCCTTACTGAGCTTAACATTTCTGAGAACTTCAACTATTTATATTATGTAGAGTCCACATTTAAGAAATGGAATTGAGGGGTGATCTGTTTCTCTGTTGTCCATTTGGAATGATGTAAAATACATTTGGATGTTTAAAGTCAATATATACTGATGGATTGTGCAGAAATTAATATGATTCCAGATGGAGACTATTGGAAATGAACTTCCTTCCAAGTGGGTTTTTTAAGTTTTTGAACTTAGAGATCACAAATGCAAAATCAGTTATTTGTATGGAAGCTGAGTACTCAGATATTGAGGTCTCCTTAATCCTCTGCCTTGCTCATCTGTAACTGCTCTCTATGACTAAAAAAGGTACCATGGTCAATTCTGTATTCAGCAGTGTTTACTCTTCACTGGGTACTTTCATTAGATCTAATGCCTCTTTGAGAATAGCAAATGTGTTCTCGTGTGCCAAAATTGAGACTGAAATTTAGGAGACCTGATTTCTATTCCTGGCTCTTCTGAAGGTGTCCTGTATTGTTTTGGGACAGGGTGTGTAAATACACACCCTGTAAGACCTTTATAAAACTGTGAGAAATGTTATTCTTGTCAGTTCTGAAGTTCTGAATATGGGATTTTCCTTTAACATTGCTGATTAAATGGATTGTCCTTTTATGCCTTAAATTTAATTTCTTGAGTTTGTGGTTGTTCTATAGGAGGATAAAGATACGGATTCCACCAAAGAGCCTTTGGATGACTTGTTTCCCAATGATGAGGATGACCAAGGACAAGGAAGTAAGTGCACCTCAGATTACAATGTTGGTGTATTTCTGCAATGCAGAGTATGAAGATGCTCTTTACAAAAATGAATCCATGCTTGGGATCCTCTGGGACACAGCTAGAGTGGTGAATGCCTCTCCTGGAATAAGGAAACCAGTCATTGATACACGTTATATACATTGATGTGTACAGAACTGGAGCCCAGTTTTTTAAAGAGAGTTTAGCAACTGTTGTAAAGATCTTTAGAGCGACTTAGTTTCAAGATTCCTCCCACAATCTTTCCTGTGGGCCTCAGAATGGAAAAGGTTAGTTCCAAGTGACTGAGGTGAATTGTGGCCAAATTCCCTGAATTCTGTTAATGACCTTTTTAATGATCTAAGATTTTTATGGCAGGTTTCTGTATGAAGTCTTTTTCATATAGTCTTTTGTCCTTTGCTCAGATTGTCTGCCTTAGTTTTACTACTCATTCTGGAAGTATTGTTTGTCTTCAGGTCAGAAGGGCTGAGGAATATGCAGTGGAGTTTGAGGTAGAGGTTTGGTAGTGGGATTGAAAAAAGGTATTAGCAGATAAGCCTTGCTTAGTAAAATGTGCTTTTTGTGTGGGTGTAAAGCTGGTATTATATAAGGTATTGATATTGTAGTGCCTGTGCAGTATGCTAGGAGAAGAATGGTTCTTAGTAGACAAATGACTTCAGGAAAAATGTCTGAAGTGACCCACCTTTGCAATCCACAGAGTTTCAAATTTCCTTTATGGGCATGCACACAAGGCACACTGCATTTTTGATAGCATGGTAATGCTGCCCATAGCCAGCAACGAAAGGAAGGCTTGGAGAGTTTACAATAGGTTAGTGTTGATCATGACCTCCTTCCCTAGAATTTTGTAGTAGAAAAGGTGAATAGCAAAGCTGTCCATATACTCATGTAGTCATGTCCCTTGTTTTGCTTTACAAAAGACAAAGATGACATGTTAACTCTCTGACCTCCCAGAAAAATGCTGGAAATGCTTTGGTGCTTTGGCAGGCAGCGACTGTGGGCATAGGCTTGGAATTGTGTGATTCCAGTGACATAAAAAGACTCCCACTTGCCATAAGAGTGTTTCTTGTGTAATAGAAAGGAGAGGAGAAAGTCCGACTCTTGGCTGGAATCCTTATCCTGTGCGTTCTTAGAATTTAATGAAAATGAGTTAGAAGAAATTTTCTAAATCTCCTCAGGAATCTCTCAGGTGAAGAGAAAAGGAGGAGTAGATTTTTCAGGGAGTGGGAGAGTGAGGGTTGCAGCAACCAAAGGTTAAGACCCCCTGGCAAATAAGTGGCTCAGCCTGATATTAGTAAGTAAAACCTAAAGGTTGGCTTTGATGACTCATTGCCTTTTTCTCTGGCAGTTGTTATTTCTGGCATCCAAGGTGTTTCAGTCCTTTATGTGCCAACCTTAAGTGCTCCTTGGCATGGCAAACAAAGGGAAACAAAAAAAAAATTGTATCTTTGGAGGAGAATCAAGGAAAAAGGACAAATCATTGAGCTTTTCTGCAGGTGTTCATCTTTTCTATGTTAGTGTTCCTTTCCATGGGGAAACACTGATATTTGCAAGTGCAAAATTATACAATCTTGAGAACTGTTAATGGTTTGATGAGCTGAGTTTCCAACTTTCTCCATTAGTTTATTACATTTGGTCCTTTAGAATTGTAAAATAATATTATGATGATACTGGAAAGAATATGAAGAATAAAATGGTCATATTTGCACTGTCACTGCTCAAGACAGCATGACTGCTGTGAAGTATGCTCTGATATTAATGCTGTGTATTGAAGAAGTAAAATTCAGTGAGTCTCACTGTGTCATTGAGCAGTAAGATATTTTAGTTACAGTCATCTTTTAATCAACTTGAAACCTTGCTGATTTCTTTCAGTTCAACAGCAGCATAGCAGTGCAGCAGCTGCTGCCCAACAAGGTGGCTATGAAATTCCAGCAAGATTACGGACCCTTCATAATCTTGTTATTCAGTACGCTTCCCAAGGGAGATATGAGGTTGCTGTGCCTCTCTGTAAACAAGCTCTTGAAGATCTGGAGAAGACTTCGGGTCATGACCATCCTGATGTTGCCACTATGTTGAACATACTTGCTTTGGTGTACAGGTTTGTATACTGACACAGATAAATACCAGTTTAGTAAATACTTAGTATTTGGCTACAGCCTTTTGATGTTCAGACTAGCATTTTTTGACTATTCTATTTTCCATTAAATTTATTTTCCTTTTTTTTTTTTTTTAATTATTAAAACCCTCAAGAGGGTCCTGAAATATTTGCATGTCTCCCTATACTTAAAAGTCAAACAGCTTGCTGTATTTTTGCCTGTGCCTTGGCTTTGGGAATGAAGCTGGGTTTGCTACTTTTTGTGTATGAGGGGACATGTCTTGATGACTTAGAGATAATCTAGAGCTAGAAATTGGACAGCAGTGTAGAAATAGTACATGCTCAGTACAGTCCCCAAGCAGCAAACTACTTTATGGTTACAGGCTTCAGGTTTTTACTTCCTGATTTCTGAATATATTCTTAGTTACTCCTCTTTTGTTGTAGCATCTTTAGGCCAGTAGGGAAGTCACTTTAGTTTTCATGACTTTCTGTTCTGAATCACCAGTATTGATTGTGTCTCTTTAAAAATTCAGAGACCAGAACAAATACAAAGATGCAGCAAATCTCCTGAATGATGCCTTGGCTATCCGTGAAAAGACTTTGGGCAAAGATCATCCAGCGGTTTGTATACACACAATATCATAATTTTAGTTGTGTTTGTCACTGAACTTTTTTTCAACTAATTCTAATATCAAACTTAACAGGAAAGTTTTTTTTAAGACCTGGCTTGTCTTTAAACAGTACAGGTAGGAGACCACGATGTGACATCCTTTGTTTTCTCTTAAATATTTATCCTGCCTTTTGAGCATTATATTCAGTGCTGTTTTCACTGTGAATGGCTTGCATATACTTGATTTTGGATTGCATGGATTTTCTATGGGAAATCAATTTGTGAAGAAAGATTTTAATTTGCTTACTGAAATCACTCTGTTATAGTCAGATTGAAGGGGCGCTTCTGATTTGTTTTACTGCTGCTTGTAAATGAAACATAAATGAAGCTTTTTGTATGATTCATGTGATGCCTCACTTCTTGTAGCCTGTGGGAAGCAGGGCAGCTCTGAGTACAGTATTGATGTGAGAGGTTTCTTTGTAAAAGAAGAATGTGTCAGGAAGATGTGTGCACTAAGTGATATTTCCAAAAATGAAACAAATTTATGTCATGATTTTGGGTTTTTCTTTCCTCTGTTGTGTATGTATGTGTTTTAATTATAATTATTTCTTTATTTGCAAATTTCATGTGCATGGAAGATTTGAAAACATAAATGCCTTGCAGATGTGTTCATTTTTCAGGTATTTGTATCAGCAAATTTCAGTGAAATTAACATTTCTCTACTGTTGGCAGGTGGCAGCAACTCTAAACAATCTTGCAGTACTTTATGGTAAACGGGGAAAGTACAAAGAAGCTGAACCACTGTGTAAGCGAGCTCTGGAAATCAGAGAAAAGGTATGAGTGCCAAATGCAGCACCTTTGAATGGATTTTTTTGAGGGAAAGGGCAAAGTTCAACTCTTCTTTTTAGTGTTTGGTTGGGTAGATCTGCCAAATAAACCCCAGAGTTAGCAATGCCCTAGTAGTTAGCAGTTTCTGAAGTTCAAAACAGTGGGAAATTCTGGTTGTGCTACAGAATTGTTGAAGCACTCTGAGTATATACTAAATTCTGTATTTTGTAATTAACCTTCTTGACATTTTTCTTTCCCATTTGATGGCTAGATAGTCTTTGATTTGACAAGAACATTGGAATTAAAAAATGAAACATCATTAAATTTTTTGATTGTTCTCTGACAATGTGGATATTTATTTTAGTCCATGAGACTGAATGCCTGTATCTTCAGACTTTGTATAATACTCTCCTTTACTCCTAAAGTAAATTTTACTACTTACTTTATTCCTCTTATGGGTTGTTCTACAGCATTCTCAGTTTGTAATAGAGTTCAGTAATTTTCATACTTTTCAAATGCAGCTTTTGTTTTTGTCATCCTCCTGTTGAACTGATGATCCATAAAAGTAACAGGGTGTTTCTAAATTATTTATTTCTAGGCCCTGATATGATGATTAGAGAATGTTTTAATACATTATATTTAATTTTCAGGTCCTGGGGAAAGATCACCCTGATGTTGCCAAACAATTAAATAATTTGGCTTTGCTATGCCAGAACCAGGGTAAATATGAGGAGGTTGAATACTACTATCAGAGGGCACTTGAAATCTACCAAACTAAGCTGGGACCAGATGACCCAAATGTTGCGAAAACAAAGAACAATCTGGTAGGCCTTTTCTAGACTAAATACGAGAAAAATGTTCTGATGGATTGAAATGCACTTTTATTCATCATGTATTTATTATTTATTATTGTATTTGTTATTTATGAAGATAAGTAAAGCAGTGTGCTGATACCTTTGGGGGGGGGGGTATTTTGTTTTTAGGCATCCTGCTATCTAAAACAGGGCAAGTTTAAGCAAGCGGAAACTTTATACAAAGAGATTCTTACTCGCGCCCATGAACGGGAGTTTGGCTCTGTAGATGGTAAGAAACTGAGTCCTTGTTTCATTTGTGTAGTTATTTTGAAATAAAATTTGCAGGAAGTCAGTAGTACCCTGATTAAAAGTGTTGTCTGCTTTAGGTGGACTTAAAAGTGGACGTAGAAGGGTTGAAGTACATTCATCAAGAAAGCTTTTAGCTGCAGCAGTAATTTTTTGTTCAAAAGCAGAGTTTTTCTTACATGAGGTAGACTTGGTAGCTTATGATTTATGAATTGCCTTTTATCTTATGCCCAACCAAACCCAATTTTGGTATTTTTATGGACACAGAAAAATACATGTCACTTTCCAGTCACAGGAAAATGTCAATGCAGGATTTTTAATTATATAAATAATGACATTGTCAAGGCAAGTCTTCCTTTTATACATTTAAAGAGTGAGGAAAATACATTTAAATTGGGAATTACACTGTACATTGAAGTCACATGCATTTTATCAACTATAAATTGCAGAAAAGAATTTTCATTGCATTGCATGACAGTAGCATACACACCACTTAGGAGACGTCAGAGCAGTTGTTATGATAAAAGAAATAAGTGCATGTTTTCTAGCACAGAACTAGGCATATGACAAATTGGTGGTGGTATATATTGACTTCAAAGCTTCTCAAAAATAACTGTTTCTAAGTTCAGATAAGAAAAGAAGACAGAATTGTAAAACTGTAAAAGAAGAGGTGCATGTTTTATTTATCTGCTGCTTGTAGTATGGACAGTAAGTTTTTTTTTGTGGTGGTAATAGTATAATTCCTTGGTTCACAACTTCATTTCAGAAATCAAACAATGAATGCTTTGTGGTTTTGTTGTTCTATAAAATATTTTCTTCTCTTTCACCAGAGGAAAATAAGCCTATCTGGATGCATGCAGAAGAGAGGGAAGAATGCAAAGTAAGACCATTGTCGTAAATCTTTTTTTTTGAGCTTGTTTTAAGTTGCAAATCAGTTATTTTTTTTAATGATACTTTTGTTCTAGGGGAAGCAAAAAGATGGCACATCTTTTGGAGAATATGGTGGCTGGTACAAAGCTTGCAAAGTTGACAGGTGGGTAGTTTCTTGACAGGACAAACAACACAGCAATACTCAATATTGCAGATTAAAGCATGTTTAAAAATTAAACCAAACCAGCTACTTGCTTAGGACTATAAAAACTATAGTTTTAAAAATTCAGCGCTCAAGGCTGGGTTTCAGGAACACAGTAGCAGTTTTCAAGTCCTGAGGCTGTTTTTAATCTAGGCTGGTTAGATCTAGTAAGTGGCATAAAATTGCATCAGTTGTGTTCTTGGCAGTCCTTCATGTGGCAGCACAGGTCACCATTCCTTCTTTCTGTACTGCTGAAGGCCTACGTGCCTTCTCTGCCCCATCAGGGCCTCTGAAGAGAGCCAGAAATGAGTCTGTGTAAATAACTAAGCCTTTAGTTACTTAGCTGGCACAAGAAAACAAAGTTAAACTGCTGCAGTTAAGTGCTATTTGAGTTTCTAAAGCTTGAAGAATATAGTTGTGTTAATGAAAGCACATACTTTAAAGTGCAGTAAGAGAAATAAGGACTTCAGCTTGGATTATACTTGGTGAAATATGTTTTGTTTGCTTTAATTTTGTTCCATTACTGCAATTTTTTTAATGTGCAGGTGGTACAATGGTGAAAAAACCTGCAACTAGTACTGATTATCAGTGAGGGTTTTTAGTTTCTTGAGTGTTTGAATTCTCCTATTTAACAAGCATCAGAACCTTTGTACTGAAATCTGCTCTTTTTTTATCCATCCTGAATTCTGGGTGCAGTGTGTTTTGTTGGTTTGTTTTTCATGTACTAGTTCATTCTAATGCATGAGAAAATCTTTTGTCTCCTGTTACTGGAGCAAAACTGCACACAACAATACTGTGACTGAGCTAATTTTGTGCCATTGAAACAAAAATGTCTTGTTGGAGTGTGAGACCTGTTAATGGAACAGGCAAATTTTTTTTCTTTTGTTATTCAAGCACAGTTTGAATGCACAGAAACTGCAAATAGGTATTAAATAAAAGCTGGTGAAAGAAACTGTTAATTACTTCAGTGACTAACACATGCTAGAGTAATAGTCACTGTATGCATGAATAAGCACATTTTCTGGAAGCTTCACAATTATTCAGTTGCACACGCTCCTCTAGAGCTAAATTTTCACCTTGAGATGCAGCTGAGGAACACAAGGACATAGCACTCTAGTTTCAGGGATGTTGACTAATCCCAGTGTGAGCTGTTAATGCACTTTGAAAGGGATCAGCAGGTTATTCCATGTACATGAAGTACAGTATAGTGTATGTCAAGAGAGACAATAAATTATTACAAAAAATACGATAAATACTTTCTTAATTTAAGTTTTTATTAGTGAACTGAGAAGAGTTTGTGTGTGTGTGTATATACATAAGTCTTTTTCTTATTTTTTTTTCTTTAAATAGTCCAACAGTAACAACTACTTTAAAGAACCTTGGGGCACTTTACAGACGACAGGGCAAATTTGAAGCTGCTGAAACATTAGAAGAGGCAGCAATGAGATCTCGTAAACAGGCAAGTATGAAAATTCACCTGAATGATGTTTCTGCATTGTGGTCATGCAGATTTTCAACTTCAGTGTCACACCTACAGAATATATAAACTTGGAGCTATTCAGTGTCTCGTGCCTGGTGTTGACCTCTGACTGAAGTGGTGATAAAATTACAGTATAAGCGGGGACTTGCTTTTAATGTGGGGAAGTCCTGTGCTGTCTTTGAGCTCTCAAATCTACTGTTCAAGTAACCCTTTCTCCCTTCTCTTAGAAGGTACAAGAGAGTTTGTTTTTGTTGAGGTTTTATTGGCTTTTTTTTTTTTCCTTTCCTTTTTGGATGATTTGAAAGTATGTAAGACTGGACAAAAAACGTGTTGTCAGTCAATGTTAAAATGGAAAGCAAAGTAAGAAAATATAAGTAACATGGAAGTTCAATTTTAATTTCAGTATGTATACAATAACAAATAAGACTTGTATTTTTATCAGAAGTGTCTTGTTTTGTTGTGGGGGTTTTTTTCCTTATATGTCCATGTAGAATTCTAAACTTAATTTCTAAATTGAAGTGAATGGACTTAGGTGATGGACCATATCTTTATTGATAATGTACTGGTTTTTTATTGGTTATAGTGATTTGAAGTTGTTTTTTAAAGAATGATACTGCAGTGTTTGATGTATATAGAAATAGATGTCTGGAAAAGGGAGAGAGTAAAAAAGTTCCTGGCAAACCTCATGCTCTTTTAGTGAATTCAGCAGCAGCTCCCTTTGATATAAGGTGGCCTAAGTTCTTTCTTCCATAAAAAAGAAAGGAAAACCTGTGAGTGTTTGCCAAAGAATTGGAATGAAACTGGTAAGAAGAAAGTATAAATCTGGGAGAAAAGTTCTTCAGCAAAGAAAATTCAAGGAGTGGGGGAGAATAGTTGATACAGATACTTTCTTTTACTGAAGATGATTTTCACATACTTTTACTGAAGGTCCATTTTCAGAGTGTCTCATTCAAATATGATTTGAAAATAAGAAATGAGCGTGCATTGCATCTTAACATAACTTGCTTTGGTTCTTGGTTTTACAGTTGCCATTACACAAGATAACTTTTTAGCATGAACAGATAAAACCAGGATAAATTGGCATAATATAATAGTAATTAAGAAGCCTGGAATCAAACTTAGCATGTTGTTATGTTTGTTTCCTTCTTTATATTAGGGAAAAAAACCCAAAAATCAGACCACCAGATTTTCAAGTTCAAATTTTTACTGGGAAGCATGGAATTGATTATTTGGGAATTAAGGCTCTTGCTATTGGAGAAAGTCTCTTTTTTAGAGTCCCTATTTAATCATCCCTCTTCTGGCTTGTCAGTACCACTGCAAAAACTCTTCCTTATCTCCATTTTCCTTAGAGGCTGCTGGTGACTTGCTGATGACACTTTATTATTAAGCAAGCTTCAGATTTTCATTGTGCATCATATACCACCTATACCATTAATCCATAATATATGACAGTAAACACAGCACTAGTTTTAGACATGTAGGAAAGAGTGTTGTGTTACTGGCAGCATTTAAACACTATGTTTTTATTCTAGGTCATTCAAGGAGGACAAACAGGGTTAATACATTTCTGCTTTTGGGCTAAAAGCAAAGAGGTACCTTTGTTCCCAGGTGTGGAAAAGCATCAGTTTTCCACATCTCTGTTCTCCTTCATGCAAATTTTGTTTGCTGTAGCTGCTGGGTGGGATATCTGTGCTAGACTTTTGAAGACCAGTAGTGTTCTTTGTCCTTTGTCTTTCATGACAGAACTGAACAAACTGAGAAGATGCAGTTTCCTGACCTTTCGTTATTTTATTTTTTTCACATGTGAGATAAGTGAGAGATGATAGCTTTGGAACAGACCTAGACTCTGTTTTACACACTTTGTGGTCTGTGCTGCTGAAGGATTGGTGCAAAAGCCATTGTGAGCCTTTGCTTCTCTGCTGTCTGAGAGCTGCAGCCACTTTCTGCACCCTGCACCCACGGGGAAGTGAAAATACACCATCAGTATGTGTTGATTTCATGTAGAATTGCATTAGGATGAACTGTTCAGCTCCTCAGTTAGGAGTAAACTCTATGGGAATCAAGGACCTGATTTCTCCGTGCCACTAAAACAACTTTCATTGTTATTCATGGACTTTTAAGAATTTTGACATCCTTTTCCCTTTCTGTATTGTGGTCAATGTTATGGATTTGTCACACAGATCCCTGCTGCATTTGCTGCTAATGCTGTACTGTAAAAGATGCAGAATATGTTCTCAAGTGTAAGGCATTCATCTGGAATCTCTTCCTATTAGCAAATACTCTTTATGATGTGGAGTAGGTTTATTGTAAAGAAAACAAAACAAAACTGAAAATAAGTATGGTTTGAGCTTTGCTATTTTGTAGTTTCTGTATTAAAGATTTTGCCTTTATTTTTAATGCAGAATTTTCATAGGAGGTACTTTAGCACTTTTAAGATATTTAAAGGATTATTTGATAGTTGATGGACATTCTTTACCACAAAGTAAATGTATTTTATTGACACATATGTAATCTGTTTATTATAAGCTTATTTGCTATTTTATTTCTTTTTGAAGGATTAAATTGTTCTACAGTGCTAAGTGTCATATGTCAGTATTTTTAAATAACACAACCTGCTTCTTAGGTATTAGATATTCAGACACCTGCAACGGTCTTTCCAAAGGTGGGTGAGGGCTGCTCCATTTGATAGGTGGATAACTAAGGATTGCATTGACTATTCATGACCTATAAATTGCTTAAATATTTAGCTGGTGGCCAGATGGCTTCAGGTAAGTGACACAAACACCATGAGGCTTAGACAAGTGATAAGAAAGGAGGAAAAGAATGTGAAGTCACTGAATTCTCAAACTACCAGAACTGTCTGTCCCCTTCACACTGTGTTGGTTTTTGCAGTGTGTAAGCTGTAGATTAATGCAGCTTGTAACAAGATAAAGCCTCTTCCCGTTTTATCTAATTCTCAGGGTCTTGACAATGTTCACAAACAGAGAGTTGCTGAAGTGCTGAATGACCCTGAGAGCATAGAGAAAAGGCGGAGCCGGGAAAGCCTCAACGTGGATGTGGTAAAGTACGAGAGTGGCCCTGACGGAGGCGAGGAAGTGAGTATGAGCGTAGAGTGGAACGGGGTAAGTACAGTACACAGTTTAGAACATAGCCTAGAGAAATCACCACCCTGACAAACGTGGTTGTCCACCCACCAGCCTGTTGTGCTTTCAGTAGTTTGTTGGGTTTTTTGGGTTATTTTTTTCTTTTTTATGGTTGATCTACTTTGTATTTTGTAATTTTGCAGAATCAATTAAGAAATGAAGAATTAATGTTTTGCCTATTCATAATGTTAAAAAAATCGTAATATTTTAAAATTTTAAAACATCCTTTCTGTCGTTGTCCTGAGTGGTGACATTTCTGCAAGAATCCCAAGCAGTTGTATTTAATGCCAAGTTGTTTAATGCTGATTGAATGTCCTGGTGGTGGTCTGGTGTACAATTGCTTGTCAGTGGTTTCTTTTACTGGTAGAAATATTCTGGCAATTAACTTACTTTTGCTTTTTTCCCTTCAATGCCATATTTGCCTGTAATTTAAATGTTTCTTTAAAAATACTGCATCAGTTGGAATCACAAAGACCATTTGCTATGGAGATGTTTTGAGTGTTAGCTGTTTTAAAATAAAGTGACTAGTCTAACACTAAAGTAATTCCAATCTCCTTACCCAGCTTGCTGGAGGAAGGAATGTAACTTTTCAAGCTGCTGTACAGTACATTTTAAGAGGCAGTGCCATCACATACCAATGTGATGGTGTCTTCATGTTTCTTAATTGAAATTAATACCCCTTTCCCCATATTAAAATTTGACTGGAGTCAGGGCTTGTTCCTGTTTGTTTCCCATATATTGGCGTCACTGTGTTACACTGATCGTCATAAAGTAAAAGCATATATACAATGTGATTATTTCATGTGCATTTTTCTAACCATTGTTTTCCTTTAATTTGAAAGACAGTGCAAGCTTTCAGTTTTTGGTCTGGCTTATGTAGTTGTTTGCTTCTGTCACCAGCTTTCCCATGCTTTATCCCATTGCCAGCAATGGGATATATATTGTACTGTTAACTAACTCCCAGCTGTAGTTCTGCTGAAATTACTCTGTTAGTTTATAAAAGTGGTGTTGCTTTTGCTGTATGGGAGGGGAAGTAGCCTACTTTGCAATATTGAGTGTTCTGAAGCTTCATTTCTCTTAAAATAGCAATCTTTTTTTTTCCCATCTTTTTGTTGGCCACATAAGACAAAGCATTCCTAAGAAACCTTGGTAAAACACATAGTGCTTTAGTCTTAAAGGAGAATGTTCTTTCCATCTTTGCTTTTGTCTCTTTATTGTTTTCTTGGCATTGGTGTTCTCAGTGCCAAGACAGTCAATCAGCATCTACTGTGAATAATACTGCATCATTAATAAAGCCAAAGTCAGGTTGGATAACTCTCTTTAATTCTCATTTTGCCCATTCAGCATTAGAACTGTGTACTGTACTCCTCCCTTAATTTTCACTGTACTTTGCATGACTAAATGTTCTAAATGGATTAAACTTTTTTCTGTTATTGACATAAATTAAACATGCATGCAGGTTTTGGATGGAAAGGGCCTTCTGGGGAAAAGCAATAGACAGTATTTCTAGGTCAAACTCAGTGATAAAATTTATTGATCTGAAAAATTAAATTTTGACTTCTCAGGGTAAACAAACCTCATTTTTAGTGTGCTGAAGTGGCAGTGCTTTATTCTCATCTTCGTTATTTCTTTCCCCCCTCCCCCTTAAGAGAAGATGTTTTGTATTACATGTTTTACATGAAGTGGGCAACTCTCTCTCCCTCTACCCTGCGAGTGTTTCTCAGTGGTGTTCTTCCCTCTACTTCATATTGTGTAGTTTTTTCACCCTTGTGTGTTCCCTCCAGACAAAATATTCTGATTCATAAAGTGTAGTAGAATCTTTGACTTCTGCGTGCAGAGCCTGAAGAGAGGCCTGCCTTTTCCATTTAAATTCTTTGGAAGTGGTCAAGCTGACTCCTGCTCTTTGGCTGTCAGAAAGAATTGTTGGAGTGTGTAAAGTGACAAACTTCGACGAAAAAATTTTGCTGGAAGATGTAATTAAGTGCCTTCCATGTGTAATGTGATCCATATTAAGCATTTGTATACTTTGATGTAAAGTCTTGCATTCTTACAAAAGAACTGAAATACCTATTGAGGTAAATCAGCCATTAACTGTTAAAGCAGACACATTACGTGAGGTTGTTATAGTGCATAAACATGTTACTTATAAAATCCATCCAAAGAAATACTTGGCCTTAAAAATTTAAGGTAGAAAGGCCAAGATTTGAATCCTTTATTATATTCGTATATAAAAAAGAACAGTGATTATCTGTAATTGGCATTTTTGTAAATTGATCTTGCAGCCCATTGCAGAACAAATAAAAATCTTTGTGGTACTTAATTTAAGAGAATGTTCTTAGTGTGAGGAAGCATCTTTTCTTACTCTAACCCATATGCTTCAAAAGGACTTTTGGGCACATAAGCCCACTTCCAGATGTGAAATGAAAGCAGTAAATTTCACTGTTAATGAGAGCTGCTCTTGTTTTGTAAGTGTCAGACAGTCAGAGGGACATTGTAGCTGACAACTACAAAGTACAGGAGACGGTGACAATGGGGAGATGTAAGCAAAAGTAATAAGGTGATTCTCATTCTGAATGAAATAAACATTGTCAATTAAACTTTGCCATAAAAATCTCCTGTTTTGTTTTTGGTTTTTTTTTTGGTTTCTTTGTTTACTTTAGATTTAGGAATTTTTTTTTTTTATCCTGAACTTATGTTTTAAAGGTGTTTTGTTAATCATGCAGTCAGTGTTTAACTTGGGAGTTTGATGTTCTTATTTCAGATTCAAAGTGCCCAAAAACTCGTCTGCTTACTCCTAATGTACTGATTAGGTTTACTTTACAGTTATACTCTGTACCTACCAAATTTGTCTTGCCTTTGTTCTTTGGATGATTACCACTACTATAGTATTGCTGGTTTCAGACTGTAGGAATAATTAGCCTTTTCACTCATCTTGTGCTTCTAGTTGGAATTTAGATTTCAATTTAATCAATCCTGTAAAGCTGAAGTCTGTTTTTAAAAGTGTGAACAATATATGCGATGTAGTTTGAAACAGAAATACTCAGATTTTGATCTTCTGATCACTTGGTAGCAAGGCATTTTGCCATTTCCAAGGATAATTTTAATTACTGTTCACTCCAGTTGTTACAGGTAAAGGCTCTCAAGACAGGTGTCTTAAACTTATCAATAATAGTCTCTATACTTAGACCGAGAGGGAAAATGTGTAAATTGAACCACAATTTATTTTAAAGGTGGATTCTTTCAGCTGCCTCACTGCATAAGGGAAAGCAGAGAAAATTCCACTTGGATTATGTATATATATATATATACACACACACAGATATGTTCTAAAAAATACTTGTGAAACTGAATTTACCCGGGACAGTTGGATTTCAGTTCCTTAAAGCATGAACAGAATTTTGTCTGGAGGTTTGGTGAAGACTTCTTTCTTCTTGCACTTTTTTTCCAGGGAAAATTCCCGACAGAAGTTAAAGCTGAAATGAATGCACCTTGCTCTGTTCCTTGCTTCTCTTTTGTTTATTTATTTATTTTATTCTTATTTTTGTGTTAATGTCAGCTGGAAAAAATAATTATTTTTTTTTGTTGACAAAATGTAATACTAAAGGTGTCCCTTCTTAAAGGTGTTTTGCATTTTATACAAATGCTAACTTTTATGCTCAGCATCTGTCATGCTCATCTGTCAGTCCCATACCAGTGATGTAGGTGAAGCTGTATAAAGATGTAGGTTCTGGTATTTACAAGAGCCTGCACTTTGTGCTTAAGGGCCCTCCAAACACTCACCCTGGACTCCAAAGCTTTTGAATGTGACCTAGAAATACTGTAAACATAACTGTTCAAAATTGAAAACTGTTGAATTTTTCCCAACAGTTTCATTCAGTTTTTCTCTCTCCGTTTCTGACAGGCCTAGATGCCTTTTGTGATTCTTATACTGTCTCCTGCATGACGGGCGTGCACCATCTTCAAGCTTTAACTTCTCTCTTCAGTACTGACTGCTGTGTTTTAGCAAACCCCTTAAGATTCTTGTCAGAGCTACACTTCCCTGTAAACTGGCCATTCCTTCAGTGCTGGTGTCTTTTTTGGTTTTCTATTTCTGTACATGTGTAGCTTTGCCAGATATGTATCTAGTCATACAAAATGTTATTACAACCATTTGCTGTGTAATACATTAGTAAAAAAAAACCAAAACCCAGACAAGTAACAATGACCTTTATAAGTAGCTGTTCACTATGGAATAAAGGTAGTTAAAAGTATCACACAAGGTATTATTGAAATGGCATGATGGTGATCTTTACAGGAGAAAAACCAAACCCGTAAAAGTAAGGCATGTTCTCCAAGTGCTTTAAAATGTATTTAGAGACCTATTATATGGTTAACATCAATATGGAACTCTGGATGTCTTCACTTATGATTATTCTAAAGTAGCATTGCTGTTTAGTCTTTGTGTGAGATTTTGGCAATTATGCTTTTCTCTACTAATCTTGGTGTTCAGTGATTTGTGTATTTGTCTTTCTAACTTCTAATAAACTCACTCCAACTCAGGTGTCTGTCTTTGCTTAGTAGTGCTTTTTTCTTTCACAACTCTTCTTTCATAATCACCTATGTTTTCTATGAAGTAGGAAGTGGTCACTTCTAATCTTACTAAACTGTTGGGATCTTTTTAAGAGTAAAACATTTAAAAATAGAATTGTGGTCAGTTGGAAGTTTCTCTAGGTCAGCACAGCAGTGTAAAACATGAATGCAATATATGAAAAATTAATTTCATTGTGTTTTATGTTTTCTTTGGTGGAAAGTTAAAACAAAGCACCAGAATTTGACTATGAGTGTTTCTGATCAGAAATATATTTTGTTTAGGGATTTTAGGATTAATTAAACATATTTGCAAGTAATGTAGATGTTTAGAAAGAACGAAACAGTTTTTCTCTTTGATGGAATGCTTTTGCTCGGGGCTCTGTACTCTGTTAACCACGGTGTGCTCATGTGAAATGGTGACATGGTGGTGGTGAATTGTTGGACTACTGTGGTGGGGTTTTATTAGTTATTATGAATCATGGCTTGGGCATGTCTTCACCTTTAGAAATCTGTGTTACGCTTTGGAAGGAACCCTTTTGTTTTGGTAAAGTCGTAGCTGTATGGTGTTACGTGTTTAGGTAATTGTATATGGTATAAGTATATATTAATAGCAGTTAAAATACAGTAATTCATCAACGAAAGGTTCTGGAGCCATGGCAGGGGGAGGGCAACAACCTCTTGCAGTTTCACATGTGTTCAATTTCTTTCAGGATGGCACTGGATCTCTAAAGCGCAGTGGTTCCTTTAGCAAGCTTCGTGCTTCCCTTAGACGCAGCAGTGAGAAGCTGGTTAGGAAGCTGAAGGGAGGAAATTCCCGGGACAGTGAACCAAAGAACCCAGGGTAACTATCTGTTCTTAGCTGTGCTGGTGTCTCCTCCATCTGTGCCCCCACTGTAGCCTAGCGCAGTACCTAGGGCAGTGTTTTCTTCCCTGCTTAGCACCTGCATATCATACAGAGTTATATCTCAAAGAAAAATAAAATAGGAAATTATTTCTTAAAACTCTCATTGTAAGTTCTGTAACATCCGAGGAATTATATCTGCTTTTAAGAGTTAACTCAGTTTTAACAATATTTTTTTTCCTTTTTACTGCTTTAGCTACTTGAAGATTTAGAAAAGCGTCGTAGAATTATCGATAAGTGTTAGTTATCTGAAACATTATCCTTTTCACACAGCAGTGGAGAATAATATATGTTACTGAGTTTTACAGTAAAGCCTGAATACCGTGAACCCACAATCTTCTTGATATTCTTGATACAGCTTTATATATTCCTGTGGGTATAAAGAGAATTACCAACTTGAGCCCTTCTCAGTTTCTGTTTTTGGAAAAGTCAGATGTCAGAGAGCAGAGAAAAATGTTGAAAAACTTGAACCTAATTCTGCATCTCATTAATATTCTGGCCTCAGCAAAGTCAGTGGTAAAAATTCAAATTTTAATGAGTCTGACTGCTCAGTCTTTCCTATTTACTATAAGATTATGGATTTGAAAATGTCTAATATTTCTAATAAATCCATAAAATCATTTCTCATGACTGCTGCGGAGAAATGTTAAAATGCACCTACTATTTTTCATAATGGCACTTGTGAGTGTTCACCTTCACCCCCAACATAATTTCAACCAGTTTTGTAGGGTTTTTTGCCCTTGCTGTGGAAAACTGGAACTCATTTAGTTGACAGGAAACTCTGTGACAGTGTGAACTTATACTTAAAACAGTCATATTGGAGAACTTGGAGCAACTGACTCTGGGGAGTGTAGTGGATGATGATTATGATGTAACTTGAGACAGTGCCCTGGAGGCAGGTTCTCACTGTGTTTCTGTAAGTGCTCCAGTGAAGTTTTGCCTTATTGTTTTTATGTGGCTGTAAAGCCTTGTGTACAGCTGCAGTACATGTAAAATTATCTTCCTCACATATCTGTTTCAAATTCAGCCTGATTTTTAGAATTATTACTTAAAATTTCACTGCCAGAGACTTGATGTTGCAGACACTGAATGGAATTCAAGATCAAAAATCCCTTTGCATTTATTGATACATTACTAAGAACTACCTCTGAGATGATAAATTTGGAATAAGCTGTGAAAGGCATGGGATTAGAAGAAGGAAATGTGTAGATGTAAAATCCTTTGGGGAAAACGAACAAAGGCAAGCCAAAATAGAATAAAAGGGATTTCCTTCTTTTCTTCAGTATTAACATTTTTATATGTTGGGTTTCTGTTTCTGTTCAGTTCTGTCCAGAGTTCCTACATTATAGTTCAGATATATTCTTTTATAAATAGATATATATATCCATAGCTAATTCTGCATTTTCTCCTCGTTTTTGTGAGACGTGGAAAAGTTTTCAGTTCCATAAAAGCCAGGACTTTTGTTCCTTGTTCTCTATAGTATTTGTAGCTGACTCTTTCTGAAGGTAAAGTAACCCTGTGATTATAGGTGTAGAAAATTATGGTTATGTATAACTGAAGACATTTGGCTTTGCAGTGTCCTGCAAGAACTCACTTGCCTTGTTACTGTTTGCACTTCAGTCGTGTTACCTGACCCATGTAAAAGTCATCTACCAACATTAACAATCACATTGTGGGGTCTGTAGCACCAGGTGAGATTTCCTCAGATAAAGGCAGAAATGTGAAACAAACTTGAAAGCAGAGCAATATCTTTCTTGCTTTTCCTTACTGATAAAATATTCTTGTTTTTTACATGTCACCATAGTTCTCAAAGGATAATTTAAAACTTTCAATAAGTGTATTGCATTGACAGGCTTTTATGTAGATAGTCACTTTGAGTATGTAAGACAATAAATATTATAATTTCTGTTCTTGTAATAAATAGACTTTTAAAATCCTAATTTATATTAGCTGGTTTTAATATCAAATGCAAAGATTGCTGGTATTAAACACCAGCTTTGTAGATCATGAAGCATAGCTGTACATATTGATATTCCAAGGAATCATTTTGATTTCATTTTCTGAAGAAACTTCAGTAAGTAAATCTTTTTTCTGCCTCTGAGTTTAACAGAAGAGATATTCAGTTTTTATAATGCAGATCTTTTGGGTTTAGTGTGTTTGATAGCTGAATATTACAGTAATGACATAGCACACGTATAAATAATTTTTGCTGTGAAATCAGCCACTCTGGGTAGAAGACTTGTGTGCCTCCCTCCTTACCAGTGCATTCCCTGCCTGTGTCTCTAGGAAGACTTTGTTCCAAAGTTGATTTACACCTCTTGTTCATACTCTGCTTCTGTAAATAGGAATTGATAGTGCTGGTGTGATTCTGAGTAAGAAGTGTTTGAATAGCAATGCACTAATATAACAGGATGAAAGAAAGACTTAGTTTTCATGCTGTTGCTTGATACAGAATGTTGAAGAGAATAAAGTGGAAAACTCATCAGGGAAATTTTCTTTACAATCATGCAAAAACCTTTTTGACAAAAGACAAATATCTTAAAACTGTCCTTTGAAACATGCAATACCTGAAGTGAGGTATCAGTTCTTTATCATATTTCAAAATTCAGTTCTGTAATAATTTAACTTTGCTTAATCAGTGTTATTTTTTCACTTCGAAAATTTCGACCATAAAGCAGAACAGTTAAGATTTTTTAATTTAAAAGGGCAAACCAAGCTTTCGTTATTGCTATTACTTATGCACCAGAAAAACAACTGCACGCTTTTTATACAGTTGTGTTTTAGCGTGGAGGAAATTAAAAGTGCATTTGCCAGACTAAATTCTTAAGTATGTTGTTTTAAACAAACCCAAACAAATAATCAACCCAAAAGCAAGCCGGTATCTCTGGTGTGAATAATTTTTTTTGATTGGCACTTTAGCAAGAACCTAAAATATGGGTGTAAATTATTACTGATGGATTTTCTGTTTCCCTGGAATGTTTTCCGTAAACCTTTATGCTCTTTTGGAGAATTTTCTGTAACGTTTTGTTTGTTTTACAGATTAACTTCCTTTGACTTCCACATATAACCTCTGTTGTACCTGTTTCCTTGAATAAATGAGAGGTGTACACCATGCATGAGTCCTTGCTTTGTTGTTGCTAACACTCATGTCAAATATTTTAAATTGTGTGCTTCTGGCTTTTGAAACATTCAGATGTAACTAGGAAAAACCAGTCAGCCTGTGCTGTGTGGCAGCTGTTGTCTGTGTTAGTGTTTTGGTTCATTGTCCTGCTAAGCTTTTGCTTTATGAAAGCATTTAAAACTCGGGCTTGACTTTGACTGTTAGTGGTCCTGCTTCAGTAGAAAGAAAAAGTGGTTAATATCTAACGTGATCTGTATGGATAAACCTTTCCGTGTTACTGGAAGGCACTGGAAACTTTGCACAGGCCAGTTGTCTCAGGCTGTGGTAGCACTGCAGGGTTAGGGCTCGTCCTGTGAGTTGTTCATCAAATACATATTCAAAGCTCTCGTTTAGTAGTTTTGAACTAGTTAAAGAGTTAATGAAAAATTGGAGCAAACGCAGAACATCCTGAGTCACGGACAGACACTGGGGTAAAGGACATCAGACATTCCCGTTGTGGTCACCACCACCGTAGGAATCTTAAGGCTGATGTTGAATTTTATTACATACACGTCAAAATATTTTTGTTAAATTTTGTATAGGTTTGAGAAATGTAGGTAAATTATTAATCCTCATCTCAAACAGCAGCAGATATTGCAGTTAATGCAGTGATATTTTGACTGTCAGTAGCTCCTGTGTAGGTGATTGATTTTTTCCCTCATCTGTTGCTTTCACCATGTTCCAGGGTGCTTTTTATCACTGCTTGAAGTGTTGTAAAGCCAAAAGCACAGCCAAAGTTAACAGCAGCAACCGTCTTGTTTCTCTTCACTTAAAAATGTTTAAAATAAAACATTTAAAAATGCTTTTTAAAATTGATTTTGAAGATGAGGCAGAAAACTAACTTTTGTTGTAGCTTTTCTAGGGTAAATGCTGCCTACATGACAGACATACTTATGTTTCACGATTTTTT